TTAATTTTATTAAGGGGTCGCTCTACTTATTATCATTGTTGTGTTTTGTGCAGCTGCCTCTAGGGGGCGCGTGTGTTTGTTTCAGTCTGTAAACCTGACCGGAAATAAGAGAATCGCAGCTGAGGTCGACCGGAAGTGTCGTTGGTTGGGATTCCTTTCCGGCTGGCGGTGAAATAGTCGCGTTAGCTCCGGAGCTAATTCTTCAGTTTGTGAACAGAGAAGTTTCAGGTAAAAACAACACAAACTTATAAATAACGTTTGTTTCGCACTAAAGTCAAAGCGAACAAACACGGACGAAAACGAATTGTGTATAATATTTATTTTAGCACGCTGGGTTAGCTCTGATGCCAGCTAGCTAATTAGCTGCTGCTAGCTTGGTCCAGGTGCTGCACGGCTAACCTTAAGTTTACTGTTAAAGTTAGATTATATTCGCGTGACTTCATTTCACTCAGTCATTTCAGTTCAGTCAGGGTGAGGGAAACCAGCAGCAGCCGTGACGAGTCAATGCTAACGGAACAGAGCAGAGAAGCTAACAGGCTAATTCAGCTAACATCTACACAATACACGATTAAATAACTGTTGTTTGTGTTTCCGGCTTCGGTGTTTTAATGTGAGTGTTGGCATCGAGGGGAAGAAGTGGAAGCATTGAATCAAACGTTAAATTCTGATTGAGACATTGAAAGTGTATTGTTAACATTCACGAAGTACATACCGAGCTTCTGGTTTTACTCTGTTCCTCCTCAAACTTTCAGCTTATTGTTGATTTAAAAATTGAATGCGAATCTAACTCAACAGGCATTAATGTTTATGAGCTTTATTAACTAAATGTAATGCAAGCTTCGTCGCAGTTTGGTTATGGTTTAGTGAATTAATTTTATGTGCTCGCTTAAATTAACTTGAATGTAATGTGAGGATGTTCAGTGTCTTAACCTGTTTATATCAACTGTGCGTGAACTGGCCGATCATATTAGTTGTTTTGTTTTTCATGAATGTTGGTTAAATCAATATGTCTCCCTTTTAAAATCTTAAACAATTAATCATTTGTTATTATTTTTAACATACTGATAAACAACTGATTATACAAATTACTTCTGAATCCAGCTTCTGAAATGTGACTTTCTGCTTGTTCAGTGTGTGAATTGAATCCTCTTCATGTGGTTTGTTAAACCGAACCAAACTTAGATGACCGAAGATGCAAACATAACCTCTGCTAGGTTCTGATTGGCATCTTCAGTCTGTGAGGTTCTATACAATCAGCGTTTGATTGATTATTGATGAAATATTCCACAGATCTATTGATAATGAATTTTCAGTTTCGTGTATATTTGTTTTTAAGATTTTTAGCAGTCGACATTATTTTGTTTTTTTGCATCCGTGTGTTTTCAGTCCAATGGGAGATAGCGATGATGAGTTCGACAGGAGGAGGCGGGACAAGTTCAGGAGAGAGAGAAGCGACATGGAGCGGTCAAGAGAGAGGGAGGAGAGGCGGCGGGACGACTGGCCCGACAGGTAAACTCACCTGATGTCACTCTCACCAAGTCAGCATGGTGGTTCAAATTTATTTTAGTCTCATTGCTGAGTGCTGGTGAACACACTGATTCCCAGCATGAGTGTGTTCATGTGTGTGACTGATGTGTTTGGATATCGTTTGTTCAGGGACTGGGACCGCGGCAGAGAGAGAAGGAGGGATTATGATCGCGGACGCAGAGAGAGGTTTTCTCCACCTCGACACATCAGCCCTCAACACAAACGCATGAGGAGAGACTGGTGAGCTGTGTGTTTGTGTGTGTGTATTTCAGCATACATGTATTTTATCCACTAATCTATACTAATTCTGTCATTTGTTGGTGAATGTTTTCAGGGATGACCACCGGGGGGAGCCGTACCGCTACGACATGCCCTACGGAGGAGGGGGTCCATTTCCAGGGGCAGGCCCTCAGGGCTGGCATCCTGACCTCCCCCACCTTCACCCACACCATGGAGGTCACCCACTGCAGGGCAGGTCAGCCTCTGCCCCAACATGTGACATTCTTATGAACATGATATTTCAGGAACGTTGTGATTGAGTTTCGTCAATTTTGACACAAACGTTCATTTAGATGAACTGATTAGATTTTAGTGGTCAAAGTTCAAGATCATCATGACCTCACAAAGCTGGTTTTTGGTCTCTTGAACATGATATCTCAAATCTGCCCTCTCTGGAATTTCTTCAAATTTAAACCAGTTGTCATTTGGACTCAAAAATGAACTGATAAGATTTCAGTTGTGAATGTAACATGACAGAAACACATCAGTGGTTGGTGGAGACATACAACCACAGAGTGGTGATTCTAACAAAGGTGACCAGAAGTGTGATCCGACATTTCTCTTTTTCTGTGGTTCATATTGTCTCAGGTTAGGGATGGTGGATCCTGATCTTCCTCCTCCTGGTCCTCCCACCATGAGGAGCTTTAAGGTGAGAAAACACACTGATGGCTTTTGTCACAACGCGTGAGCACAGGGTTGAAGGTCACTCATTCTGATTCATTTGCAGGAGTTCCTGTTGAACATGGAGGACAGTGTTGATGAGACAGAGGCGGTGAAGCGTTACAACCAATACAAACTGGACTTCAGGCGGCAGCAGCTGCAGGACTTCTTCCTCCAGCACAAAGACCAGGAGTGGTTTCGGTCAAAGTACCACCCCGAAGACATCATGGGCAGTAAGGCAGAGTCTCTGGCCTCCCTCAAAACCCGCCTCAGCGTCTTCCTTTTCCTTCTCGACAACAATTGGCTGGATAACGTGTCTTTGGACATGGACCATGGCGCTGCCATCATAAAACTCCTTGACGCAGGTGGGATGATCATTGACTGTATATTAAGATATAAAACTTATATTTACATATATCCAGTTGCTGGTGTCACCTTGCAGTGGGTAATGTAGTCCTCTCTCTTTCCCTGCAGCCGTGATAAAGATGGAGGGAGGTACAGACTTTGACCTGCAGGTCCTGGAGGCACCGATTGCACCTGTGGCAGCAGTAGTTGGGGAGGCCAGCAGTGCCGTCACCAGTGGAGGAGCAACTGGAGGTGAGAAGAGTCAGGGAGAGCAGAGCGCAGGAAGTGTCAGCGATCAGAGCAGCTCCGAGGCGACCAGTAGTCGAACGGAGGCAACGACCAGCAGAGAGGCGGGCGAGACAAAAGACTGTGATAAGGTCAGAATGATGATGTCACACTGTGGTAAATAAAAGTGACGACGTGTTTCGTGTCAGGGCATCAAAAATATCTTTGTCCCAGGACTGTGAAGAGGAGGCCACGCAGAACGGAGAGAAGGAGAAGGCTGAAGAGGGGGAGGAGGGGGAGGAGGAAGAGGAGAAGAAAGATGACGAGAAGGAGGAGAAGACAAAGAAGGTGAGTTGGTTCTCGTCGACACTAACGTTCTTTGTGGTGTTGGTGTTAAATCCTGTCGACTCCTCCACTCAGGGCAGGAAGAGGAAACGCAGCTTGTCAGCTGACAGTGGGGAGGGCAGTGCCTCCGACTCAGACTCCTCCCACTCTGACGGAGAGAAGGAAGAAGACGACGAGAAGGAAGAGGAGGAAGACGGAGAAGACGGTACTGACCAATTTGTTTTCATACCACAGCAACTGTTTAATCAGAGGTTAAACGACAGAAAGAGTGGAGGAAAACTGATCAGTGTGTGTATGTGTGTCTCAGAGCGTCGGAAAGAGCGAGGAAAAGAGCGAGGGAAAGAGAGGGAGAAGGAGGCCCCTGCAAAGCCCCGCCCCCTCCACCTCACCACCTCTCTGTTCATCAGGAGCATCCCCCCAGAGGTGTCAAAGGATGAGATCACTGCAGTAAGAGATCACACACACATGCACACATCCTCAGACACACACTTGACACATGGACTAACCTGGCTCGTGTGTGTAGTTGTGTCGCAGGTACCCAGGCTTCCTACGAGTGGCGCTGTCGGACCCTCAGCCTGAGAGGAGGTGAGAACTGAAGCGTTGGATGTCATTGTCATTTCAGTGTCTCATCACACATTTATCCTCCAGTTTATTTTAGCTTTATTTAAAACACAGCAGTTGACAGTGATACACACACACACACCAGGCCACAAGCATTTGAACCTTCACAGAATTTATTTTTATAAAAAAAGTTTTTGCTTCACAAAAACAATGGAAAAAATGAAGTGAAGTTCAACTTGAGACAGAACCGAAAAGTTTAAAACAATGATGATTTAAAGACGGTGACAGATCTGACCTCAGTTTGGCAGGTCGGCTTTTAGCAATGTCCAGGCTGAAAAACAACGGGGACCTTAAGTGACCAATCAGGCTCAGGGAGCGACCAGATCAGCAATGCATTTGTAATCGTGGTTCTGTTTCCGTTTCTTCTAGTCCAAGAAAATATTGATATCTGTATTCTTCTTCTAAAAGTCAATAACAGTCAAACTAAGGAATTGGTTCAGAGGGACAGTTTTTACATGTCCAGATTTTGAGTCGGTCTGTCTGTGCCAGGTTCTTTAGGCGGTGTTGGGTGACTTTTGACCGCGGTGTGAACATCAAGGAGACGTGCTGGAACCTCCAGAACATCAGGGTAAATCCACCAAACATACTCCGATCAGAACTGTCACTGACATGAACTGATCGATAAATAATACCTGCACTCTCTCTTCCTCCACATCCTCAGCTTAGAGACTGTGAACTCTCTCCAGTGGTCAACAGAGATCTGTGTCGGCGCGTTCGCAACGTCAACGGTCTGACGCACCACAAGCCGGTGGTGAGGAACGACATTCGTTTGTCAGCTCGACTCGTGCACAGCCTGGACCAGAGGGGGGAGCTGTGGGCCGAGCAGGTACAGTCCCGTTGTTGTCACCCATTCTAAAAACACCACGTTAAAACTCTGAGCAGGAAGTTAGTGATTGTAGTCTGGCTGCTCACAAATGGGATCTGACCACAGTCAATTCAGCTGCTTTTATATTGATAGTCTGACTCACTATGATGAGATGTAATTACCCATAATCCCTCAATTACATGTGTGTACAGATGGAGACAAACCCCGTCCTGAAGAACATCACAGATTACCTCATAGAGGAAGTCAGCGCTGAGGAGGAGGAGCTGATTGGCGCCTCTGGGGGCAACAGTGATGACACAGGTGATGCCAAAGACCCCGCCTCCTCCTCTGAGGTCACCGTTGAGACTGACGACAAGCTAATGAAGGTAGGAGGAGCTCAGGTTGTCTTATTCTGTCCTAATATTTTTAAAGTTATGATTCTGAGGGTAAAATATTGTGTGTGTGTTTGTGCGCAGGTGCTGGACAGACTGCTGCTCTACCTGCGCCTCGTTCACTCTGTAGATTATTATAACTTCTGTGAGTATCCTGCTGAGGACGAGATGCCTCATCGCTGTGGCCTGATCCATGTACGAGGACCCCTACCTGTGGCCAAGATCACTGCAGCCGAGAGTATGCACACAAACACACACACACACACACACACACAAATATAAATAAATTAGACTTGTTCGTCATCAAATATTTTGTCACAAGTGGAAACTGCAGGTTACACGTTACCTCCTGTAACACATATGAAGGCGTGCACGCTGTGGAGGTTGCTGTGTGACCGAGTGGTGTCTCTTCTGA